GCCAACATTCTTCCATCATCAACGTGGGGAAAAAAAAAAACCCCACTCTCTCTCTATGGTCTCTAGAAAGTAAAAATAGCAAAAAAAGAGATAATTTTGGTTAGGAAGAGAGGAGAACACATAAAGACTCCACCTTTCTCTCTCCTCACACAAGATAAAGATGTGTATCTATCTATCTCTATCTACATACTGTGGAATTCCACGCTTGCTTCCTCAAATCTCAATGGCCCAGATGGACCAAAAGAAAAAAAAAAAAAGAATGAATTTTGGGAAAGATGGGCAGCAATTTTAGAGAAAGAAAATTGTTGTTGATTGTGTTAGAGAGAGAGAGAGAGAGAGAGAGAGACCTCTCTTTACTCTTCAAATCAAATTGTCTTCCAAATTAAACAAAAAAAGCAGACAAATTTTGTTTGCCCACAAATGCCCTCTGCAACCCCCCCAAAAAAAATCCCATCTTCATCATCAACTTCACTGGTCTTTCATGACAACTATAATGTCTATAATTTTCTTTTATATACTGTCCCGAATTATGTGGGCTTTTTGGGTCCTTTGCCTTGGTCAGAATTTGTTTTTTCATCCTTACTTTCTTACATTTTTTTTCCCTTCTCACAGAGGAAACAGGAAAGCAAAGAAAGAGAGAACCTTCCCACCTCTCTCTCTCTCTCTCTCTCTCTCTCTCTCTCTCTCTCTCTTGTTTCTGTCCTATCTCTCTCTCTACTCTATCTTTTCGTTCTCTACATGACTTCTTTATTGCTTTGTCCACACCGCTTTCATATTCAATTTCAATCACCATACCACCTGTTTTCTTGTTCATTTATCACTCTTTGCTCTCTCCCCTTTCTTCCTCGTTCTGGGTTTTCACAGATAGCCCTGATAGATAAAATAATATCAACCGTCTGATCATCTTCAAGATCACAACTTTTTTTGTGATCTAATGTCTAAGAAGGGTAAAGGGGTTGTTTTCGATTCAGCGACAAATTATGGTGTTGGGCCGTACGAGGATGCTAAAGCGAGGGTAAAGCATCAAAATCTTTTGCAGGACTATGAAGAGTTGCAAAGGGTGCTCTTTTTATTGCTATTTTGTTTTGGGTTTTTGTTTTTCTTGTGTAATTTGGAAGATCTGATGTTTTATGTGGTTGTGTGCCTGCTCGGGTTTGTTTGATGAATGTTGTGTGAACTGATCAGGGCTTGCAAGGGTTTGATTTCTCTGTTTTGCAAGGTTTTTGTTATGGGGTTGTTTGTTAACATCATCTTATGTGTTCTGTGTTGCAAGCTTTTTGTTATGTTGTTTGATAATTGCTCCTTTTCCTATTTCCATATTTGTACTCTCTTTTCATGGTTCTCTCTTGCTATTAGATCTTCTCATGGTTGGCGGCAACTCTTTCGATATATGAAGTATTATAATCGCTTCTCCCGGCGAGAAATTTTTAGTTAGAGAAAAAGCTTTCCTTGGAGTTCCTTTGGTAGATCTAGTTAATTTATCTAAACATAAAAATATCTTGTTATTAGATCTTCTCATTGATGCTTGTTGCGGTTTATGATTATTCGGTATCATTCTTCTGATAATTAGCTTGATGTAATGCTTTATGAAGCTAAATCGTCTCTTTTCAATTGTGGACATTTATTTTCTTCTGTTGATTTAGTAGCTAGTTCGCTGTCGTGAGTGTAGCAATTTTCTGGAATGTAATTGCAATTACATAATGCTGCAGGAAACTGATGCTATGAGAAGCAAATTAGACGCAGCTAGTAAGAGGAAGTCGATTCTTGCTGCTGAAGTTCGGTATGTAGTTTGATTTCGGACGTGCAAGATTTTGGTAGTAGTTAACAATCTTATTACAGTCTATTCATTGGTAGTCATATTTTATTTGTAATAATCAGTTGCGACTATAGAAAGTCCGAAAATGCGTGAGTCGAGATGAAGTGAACACACAATTATATGATTGTTGAGATATTGCCATTGGTTGTACATAAGTTGCTGCAATTTTAGTAGGTTTTGTCCATGACAATGGTAAGTGCTTACTAACACACAGGAAAAAGTGATTTTTATGGTTCAGCATTTAAAAGAAGAATCGTCATGTTTTACTGTTTACTAACTTTTGCTTCTCAGTTCTGCTTCATTTTACTAGTAAATGCTCTCCCTGATTGGCTTATGCACAAGATGAAGCATTTTCCAACTTAACCATCAGACACACTTTAAATTACACTCGATTTTGAGCTTTAGTAAGTGTTTGTAGACAGTGTTTATATTATTCATGTGCGGTAGAGTTAGTCATAGAATTTTGCTTGGTGCTGTTGGTTTCATCATATTTTCTTTTACTCGTGATAAATTTTCATTGCAACTTAATATGCCTGCCGTGCAGGTTTTTGCGGAAAAGATATAAGCACCTCGTGAAATCAAAGAACATGGATTCTTCACACGAACAAGCGCATGCACAGAAGAGAACTCCCCCCAAGAAAGCTAAAACCCCAAAGGAATCGGTTTTCATCAGTAAAGAAACAAGTCCAAGTCAGCATATATTACCTTTAGTTCCTCAACTGATAAAGAAGAAACAATGTGTAGTTGAACCAGCTGTTCTGAGCAATGCCTTTCCAGCAATAACCGATCATCCTCGCAAGAAAATCTTGAACCAGAAAGAAAAGAAGCGCATGAAGAAAGAAGCTGTGGCCCCAAACGTGGCCTTACTGTACGACAAAACCCAGAAGGAAAGAATCCTTTGTGCGAATGACGCAGGTTTAAGGAATCCAATTGCCACTTTCGATCTGAATGAGGACAGTTGCCCTAACGGAAAAGAAGCTTCTTTTCTTAGCCGAGCTCCGATTTTCGACTTGAATGAAATCTCGGTAAGTACTTCGTTGAATTTTTGTGCTGGCTTCCTATGTCTGAAAAGAAAACAAAAAGGTAATTTATTTTTTTTCATATATTTTAATAGACAGGGGATGAGGATTTTGGGACAAACGTTGAGGCAGTCGGGTTTGAGGAATCAAGAAAGAGTTTAATCAGAGGTTTAAACGGCGAGCAGCAAAATGATTTGAATTTGGCTTTCTGTAGAAATTCTGGGGAAGGATCGTCTCGTGTGGGGAAGAGGAAAATTTCGTGGCAAGACCCGGTTGCTTTGAGGGTTTGAAGCTTCCTCAGTTTGTTTAGTTTCCTTTTTTTCTTATATATAGGGACCAGTTGAGTTTCATCTTCATCTGCTATACAGAATGTTATATTGAAACTATTTTTGTGGGGCTAGTGAAGAATGTCAGATAAATTTTGTGGGACTTGGTTACTCATAAATTAGTTTGTAGCATCTTTGGCCTATTCTGTGTAAAAATGGATCATTTTTTGGGTATCTGTCTGATAATTTTATGATATAGAAGTGATAATTTATAGAAGTTCACTTAATATTGGGGTATACTTTGCAGGGATTTTGATAATAACTAGTATTCGACCCTATGCAATTGCACACTGTAAATAGAATATTATAAGTTACATTTATGCTTATAGTATTAAAATTATAAGTTATACAAAGTTATTATATTTTAAACATAGAGTATTATAAGTTATATTTATGCATATAATAATAAAAATATTAATTAGATAATGATATTGTGTTTTAAAATTTGATCACTGCTGAAATAAATAGTATATAACTATTTGATTGCATATGAACAGCTATATTAATTACATAAAATATAATAAATAATGTAATTCTGAGAGATCGCCAATTTATTATCTTAAAAATATTAAATTTATTATAATATTTCATTATGCGATTTTAAGGAATTTTACTATAAGATAAAATAAATTAACTTATTTAAAAATACAAAATCGCTAAATAAGATAAAAAAATATAATATTAATTTTATAATAAATAACTTCAGCAAAAAAGTTTACAATAATTTTTCATGCTTATATAACTTTCATATATTATTTAGGGCAAAATTGCATCAAAATACACCACCTTTCAATTTTTTGCAATTTAATCACCACATTTCAAAGTTTGCAACTAAGTACACGAGCTTTATGCCTTTGGCAAATCGAAGCATATTCGACGGAAACCTGCGCCTGCTTTCTTACGTGGCATCGTCGGAAACTTACCTGGAAAACAGAAACGGACGTGGCAGATAAAAAATAACAAACAAAAAAAATAAAATGCCACACAATAGTCCACATGGAATAATTACATAAACAAAATTTTTTCTCTCCTATAAAAATCCCAAATCTCATAATTGAACAGAAAAATCCCAAATTTTTTCCCCTTTCTGTCGAACCCTAGCTTCTGTTTGAAGAGAAGATCCCAAAATCGTACCAATAAACCTGCTACTCTGAAGATGTCGTGTGGATCGTATGGTAGTGGAGGTCGTGGTTCAACTTCAAATTTGGCCCCTGAAGTTGACGACCTTGTGTGCTCACATAGAGTCCGACCGGATCTTTTGACCTCCTACACCGTTACGAATCCGGCTAGGAGATATCATCGATGTATTCACAGAAATACTGTAAGTATTTATACTCTATTGAAGAAATTCACATTGGTTATGTAGTGATTTCTGAATTGGGGAATTAGGGTTCCAAATTATTGTACTGAAGATTGAGAATTGAATTTTGTGTAATTGTTATTGACATATTGCAGGCGAAAGATTGTAATTTTTTTCTTTGGCATGATGCTGAATTACCACCATTTCAGAAAGGGTGTTTTTTTGAAGTTGAAGAATCAAAAGCTGTTGTTGGAAGAGCAATTAAAGTACAAGGATATTGCTGAAAAGCAACTGAATGAAAAGCTTGAGATGAAAAAAAACAAGTTGCTGTTGTTGGAAGAGCAATTAAAGTACAAGGATATTGCTGAAAAGCAACTGAATGAAAAGCTTGAGATGAAAAAAAAACAAGTTGCAGCAGTTGAAGAAGAAAATTGAAGAACTGGAGAGGGAAAATCATCAGCAGAACAAGAAATTGAATTTTGAGAGGAAGTTTGTTATGGTTCTATTGATTTGTGTCTTTTTAGCTGTGTTTAGGATTAATAGAATTATTCCTAATGGTAGTTTGATGTTGAATTAGAGAATTAATCTACGTTTCTGTTGCTTTGTGTCTTTCTAGTTGTGTTTAGGACAATGAGGGTTTGATGTTGTAATGAAGTATCTTCTTTTTATCTTATTTTATGAAAAAGAAAAGATCTTATGAATTTGTGATGATTTCAGTGATATTAATCTTACAAAAATGTACCTACTAATATGGATATAAAAACCATATTCAACTTCAAACATTAGTTTGTGGAAAGCAACAAACTAATGAGTTTGTACCTGCTAATTGTACCTGGAATTTGGCAGCCTGAGCATTGAATTGTGAAAGCAACAAAAACTGTATTCAACTTCAAACATTAGTTTGTGGAAATGAGAAAAAAAACTGAAAGCATCTTCAACTGTATTCACCATTAACCATCACTGTTTAAGGAAATGAGAAAAAAACTGTACAATGAATATATTGAACACCATCACAAACTACTGAAATCAAAAACCATCACCATCACAAACATTAGTTTCTATTACAAACAAAAGTACCCAAAATAGGCAAATCCCAAACAACATTATAGTCTAATAATTTCAAAAGGACACTCCAAAGGGACAAAGTATTCAACTTCAAACAACACACATCAACTGAAGCCAATACACAATAATTGTCATACATTGCAAATCCTATTCAACTTCAAACTGATGACCTAACATCTAAGAACTATTTGGCCACACTTTCTTGTGTTCCTGCATTGTTTTCAACAGTTCTGATCCTTTTGTCACTTGACATCTGAAAATGAATGGCAAGAGTATTAGTTAACTAATTTTTCAAATTACTAAGTAATTAACTAGAATTAAGAAAAAATATCACCCCTTATATAAATGTTGTCTGTTTCTGGTGAAACCATAACTCCATACCCTTTTCTTGCCTGCAATGAAAACTTAGAACTTATACATATATCAATAACAATTAATTAAAATATGTAACACACAAGTTAGCACACCATTGCTCTTTCTTTGTGTATTTGCTGTTTTCCAACCACAGCAGATTGTGATGGATTCTTTCTCATAGTGGTTTTCCTCTTTCTAACTTGTGTGGAGGCAGAACTTCCTGATTTTCCAACATCATTAAGTTCATTTTGAGGAGGGCAAGATATTGCCTTGGTTCTTGGCCTTCCTATTTTTCTCTGCAGTCAAGTTCATAGTGGCTTAGGTTCAAAACAAGACACAATGCAATATAGAATAGATAAACTGAATGCATAAATACTCACCTTAGGTGGCCTTGGTGCAACTTTATTTTTACAAGATCTTTTGTTATGCCCAATCTGCAAGCACTTTTGGCACCTCATTTGCAAGCCAAATCTCTTCAGTTTAGAAGCACTCTTAGCTTCTTCTTCAGGTGCCTTCTTTCTTGCCAATTTGGGTCTACCTGGCATTCTCTTAAATGGAGGGGGTTTCACCATGGTCCCAGTAGCAGAAGGCCACATATTTTTCCCATTTATGGGTTCAAGTGCATATGAATAGGCTTTTATATATCTCTCTGTCCTAAAGTAGGGATTTACAAACTCTAAAACATCCCTTTTGAGATAGAGTATTGCTGAAGAAGCATGTATACAAGGAATGCCAGAAATATCCCACTCTCTACATGTGCAACTGAAAGCCCTCAGATCAACAACAAATTGATCATCATAGATAGCAACCTGAAACTTATCACCCACTGCAGGTTTAGGGACACACAACCTACTTTTAAACTTGGTATCCTCAACTTTCTTCCTAATCCTAGGACATATCACATCAGTACACCCACTACCTGCCATCAGCTTTTGGTGATGCCTTTCCATTACAGATGTTCTAATGAGTTCCAACATCTCAACTATGGGTTTTCTCCTAGCCTTTACTATTGTGCTATTGAAAGTTTCACATGCATTATTCAAAATCATATCACATCTAGGCATGTCCATTATAAAAGCCTTACAGAATCTAAAAGTTTCTTTTTCCAAAAAAAATACTTACATGCATCAGGGTCTTGAGCATTCAAATCATCAATAGCTTCTTTGTAAGCTGCCTTATAGGTGCTGTTCACAACTTTCCAGAAAAGGTCTTTTAGTGCTTTTCCAGGGTGCTTCTTTTTCCAATTCATGTATACATGTCTTGCACAATTCCTGTGCTCTGCATGTGGTGTCAGTTCCTTAATGGAAGCAATAAGTCCCTACATTTTGAACAAGGTAAAAATTCAGTCAGTAAAACAATAAGAATTAGTTATGATTGAAAATTATTAAGAACACAAAAAGATTGCTAACCTTCTGCTGATCACTGATGAAAGTCCAACCTAGCCCATCCCCAATTCTGAGCTCATTGAACAATATCTCCAAGAACCATTTCCAATTTTGTTCATTTTCTGAGTCTGCCACAGCCCAGGCTATAGGGAATATTTGGTTATTACCATCTTTACCAATGGCACACAACAAAGCACCTCCCACACATGTCTTAAGGAAACAACCATCAAACCTAATCACAGGCCTACAACCTTCCAAGAAACCCTGCCTTAATGAACTGAATCCAACAAAAAAAGCCTTAAAAACACTACCAACATCCAACAATAGTTCAAACCTGCCACTCCTATCAACCCTTTGTAACTCTGCAATGTAGCTTCTCAAGCAAGCATAATGCTCAGTTTCTGTTCCTCTAAGCAACTCTAGAGCCTTATATTTTCCTCTATACAATTTCCATCTAGATGGCTGCACTGCATATTTGTCAAGAATTTGCTCTTCTAGATCACCTACCTTCATCCTTGGTTTTTTTCTGAACTTTTCCAAGAACTCTTTTGCCACCCAACTTGATGATGCTTGCCTAGTGTTAATGTCCCTGTGGCACTTGTGTTCTGACACTAGTCTTTTAATTGCAACCATTCCTTCTGCTCTTACCAAACTAGCATACAATTTCCAAGGACAACCATCTGTACACCTAGCTTCAACTTGTTTTTCACTACTTCTCATAAACTGAATATTTAAGCCATTATAAACAGCATGACTTTGTATTGCATCTTTGCACTGGGCAACACTGACAAACCTCATCCCAAGAACAAACTGTATGGTCTTTTTATCACACTCAGGATCATACACTACACACTTCTTCT